TGTTTCAATTCAACCAGAGAACTTCTTAAATTGAAACACAAAGGACTGTAAATTATGTGTCTGTTTTCTTGAACTCCCCAAACGCTGCAAAAACTGAAAAAGGAAAACTCCTTTTTCACGTGATCTCAACAGTTCGCAAAATCACCGTTCGGAGGCCGACACGACTCTCTTTTTTTTTACTAGAGAGTATTTCGTTTATTCGTTTATTTACAACATCAAAAACCTCCTCACTTTCTCACTCACGCACCGCAAACACTGTTTTCAAACTGTTCGATCTATATGAAGCCGTGATCAGTCCGTCAGAATCGCATTCCAATTTCTTCAATTACAGACCAAAAGATTCAGAGATTCTTGATTTTTTTGTCTTCCTGTCATTTTCTTACCAGATGTTTTCTGGGTTTTGTTCAATCCTGTCTTAATGTTCGTTTTTCAGGATAATCTCTTTCAGTTCGTACAGATAGTTGGATCATCGACTTTCTTGATCTTGGGAATAAAGGTTAACTCTTTAATCTTTATGGTACTGCTTACAGTTGAGTTATTTAGAGGGATCATATTTATGAGTTCCTTATTCTTTATTTTGTTTCTTTTTACCATATAGATAACATCAATTTCAAGCAGCTGCTTTTTTTTCTATTTGTGTTGTCTGAATTTGGAACTGTTCTAATGGCTGAAACAATCGGTCCAAGATTGTACGGTTGCTGCAATTGTAGAAACCATATTGCCCTTCATGATGATATCATCTCTAAAGCATTTCAGGTGAGGTTTAACTCTAAGGCCATTGGTTCTCAGTTGATTTGGTTTCGAGGGATGAAAGTTTGTCGTGTTATTTTTGTGGTCCGAAGTCCTCTATATCCCGGTTGTGCGTGGTTTGCTAATAATAGCGACTTATAAAGAATTTACGTAATTTCGAAAATTGTTTATCGGTTGCTCGCATTTTTTGTTGCTAATGAAGTTCAATAGCTTAGGATAAGGTTCTCTAAACTTGAATTATCTGCAAGGAAAAGGCTAAAGAAGAAAATATGATGAGTTTTTTTTTTTGTGATAAATGGCAGGGGAGAAATGGTCGAGCGTTTTTATTCTCCCACGCTATGAACATCTATGTGGGGCGTAAGGAAGATAGGCAGCTCATGACTGGTCTTCATACGGTTGCTGATGTTTATTGCTTCGACTGCCGTGAAGTGTTGGGTTGGAAGTACGAGAAAGCTTACGAGGAATCACAGAAGTACAAGGAAGGGAAGTTTATTTTGGAGAAATCGAGAATCGTCAAGGAAAACTGGTAGTCAGTCGAATGGTTTTGATTTTGCCGTATGAATCTTGGTGCAAAGTGCCAGGGTTTCATTTCATCAGGTGCTTTTTCTTCTGCCAAATGATTCATATCAGTTCGAAATGTTGATTCATTGTTTGTTCATATGTGTTCTCTTGTGAAATTGTGTTGAAGATTGTGGATGCTGTGTATAAGTTTGTCTAAAATTCAGTCAGTCAATTGATGTGTGTATATTAACTTATATAGTGTAATTATTTTTTATAGACGAAGAACCCCACAGTTGAATGTTTGTAAAAGCTTTGCATAAATCAACTAATATACCGCCTCCATTTGAAAAAAAAGGATTTCAAATCCCTGGCCTCTTTCTCTCTAAAAATCCAAACTCCCCAAATCCGTCGTGCCCTAGCTCTTCCGCCTCCATCTGCGCGTGTCTCCCCTCCGGAGGCCCTTGGCCTCGCGATTCCGGCGAGCATCTGGCTCACCCTTGGCTTGTTGGTGCGGCTGCGGTGGTTTCACGTCGCTCCACCCCAGAAGTGGTCCCGCTCTTTTCTCGAAGCGCCATGGCGGGAGTGATTGAGGCAGGTTGCGGCTGGTGCCGTGTCCGGCGGTCACCGTTGACGCCCTTGTAGAGGTCTTCGGTGGAGTTCAGGCCTTGGTTCCTCTCTGACCCGGCTTTCGCTGGTGTTGGTTAGGCTGGGTACTCCGGCGGCTGCGGAGTGTGCTTGGGGGGGACTGTGATGTTGTACCAGCCTTGGGCGGATCTGCGGTCTCGGATGGAGGTTTCAGATTTGTGGTCCTGCCCTGGTTAGCCCGTTTGGGGAATTATCGGGTCTGTCGGGTTGAGTTGAAGATCTTGATGTCTCTTTTCGATTGGTCGCTTGTCTGGATGTTTGTTAGGCTGTATTTGGTGTTGGGTTTGTGTTCCCGCAAGGGAGGACCTTATTATTGTTTAGTCTTGTTTTCTTCTTTTTCCTTGTTTTTTAAGTGGTGTGTAGTAGGTTATTGCTTGGTTGGTCTATCTTTTGGTTCTCCCATTTGGGAGCTTCTCCAATTGTGGGAGTTTCTTTCTCCACTTTGTGGGAGTCTTTAGTTGTTGTTTTTCGTGTGTGTTAGCTTTAAGCTAGCTTTAGACTACACCTTGTGTAGGTCTCCCACTTTCAACTATTTGACTGGCTTTTTCAGCAAGTTCGTTGTCTTTGTGTTTGTAACTTGTGTTTCGTGCTATAAGATGAACTTGTTGTCTTTGTGTTTGTAACTTGTGTTTCGTGCTATAAGATCTATCGTTTCGACCAAANNNAAAAAAAAAAAAGAACCAATATACCAACAGAAGGGCTGAAAGTTATCAACATGTGTGAATAGGCAGATCTTACAAAACACAAAAATGATTCACTCAGTTGCCACTGAACACAAAGCTATTGTCCTAAACGCCTATAATCTCCCGAAAACAAAGAATTCACGAACAAAACTGTTCCTTTTCCCATCCGTTATCTCACGAAATCGAGCCATACAACATAAAACACCAAAAAAAAAAAAAAAAATTCTCACATTTCCATAAAACCGAAAACCAGAAAAAGAAAACACACCCGCAAACGCAGACAGAGAGTAAACAAAAGTTACGAAAAACACGAAGCTTCTCAAACACCCCCACAAAATTCTCGAGCCTCACGCCATACGATCAAAGCACGGTTGTCTTCTTCATTATCCACTTCTTTTTAGCATTCTCGATAGCAACCTCTCTCATCCTCTCGAGCTCCCTACAACGCTGATGGTACTGCAAATCGATAGCTTCGAGCTCCTCCCTCAGATCATCAGACAGCTCATTCTCCTTATCCATTAACGAGAGAGACGAGACGCTCAAGCTCATATTGCTCGTTGCAGTTATCCACGAACCAGTGAACGAGTTGACTGAGTTCTTCAAGCTCTGGCTCATAACAGTATAGTTGTTGTAGTTGCAGCTATTGTTTGTATCATTATTATTGTTTAATCTGGTGATTTTCGAACCATGCTCGGTTTTTGCATCAGGCTTCTCGTTTTCCAACTTCTTGGGCCCACACAGACTCCCGCATGGTGTAGCCCATGTGGGTATGTACTGTGAGATTAAGCTGTTGATCAACTCGGCTATGAAAGCAACATCATCCCTCCATAAATCGAGTGTCTCAACCATCTCTGAGGCTATTGAAGATGAGGTATCTGAATCGAGATAAAACGGGAAGTGCACGTACCGGACCCGACCTGTTACACAGGTAATTTGATTGCATAAACATATTAGACAAAGACAGACTTTTTTTTAGTGGAGCACACTGAGGATGAAACTAGAATTTTATGTACCGGAATAGTCAGCAATCCTCAAAGTCAAACTTATTTTACGACCGTCAAATTCTTCAGCTTTCAAGACGAACTCGTTCCTCTCGTTGCACCTATGCAGCTCAAGTGTCGACATGGAAGTTCCGGTCATGCTTTCGCACCACGTGCTGCTACCAGATAGAAGCATTTTGGAAGAAGAGTCGAGATCCATGAGAGGGAAATCGGATTTTGACGAGTTTATCGATTTTGGCGTGAAATCAGTTAGTTGAGGGGGATCACAGGTGTCATCCTTGGGATTATCGTTAGAGAGAAATGGCGCTTTCAGAAGCTCGGCAGCACTCAGCCTCTGGGGGGCTGGAAGCAAGCATTTTTCTATGAACCTTCTCAACTCAGGGTCCCTTACTTTACTCAGAGCAGCCGGTTTTACTCCCTATTTAGTTTTACAAATAAGGGTTAAGATTGCAGATTATGAGACAAATGACCAGTTAATAAAAATAGAAAGAATGAGTTAGCAAAACTTACGGAGGTAACCTTCTTGTATATCTGTGCTTGATTTTTGCATTCGCTGTATGGATATTCACAGGAAACCAACTCCAGGATACACATCCCGAAAGAATAAATATCCACTAGCTCATTGTATTCTTCCTCATAGAGTTCAGGAGCCATGAACTCGGGGGTCCCTTTTGAGAAAACAGCATAAATTTCAGAAGATAGAGAAAACAGTGGGCGTATGCAAGAAACGTTTACCTAAAAAAAAAAAAATACCGATAACACTTCTGGCAGTAGGCTGCTGCATTATTGTAGCCAACCCAAGATCCCCGATTTTTACTTCTCCATGATTCCCATTCACGAATACATTATCGCATTTCAGATCTCTGTGAATGACGGGAGGATTGTGAGTGTGCAGATATTCTAACCCTTGAAGGATCTGCCTGGCCCAGTTCTTGATAGCTTTCATATCAACACTCTTATGTTTGTTTCGGTAGCTGAAACACAAGAGAATCTTAAATATTAAATAAAATAATGAATATGACGAGAAAAAAAAACTACAATAAAGAAAATCAGGCAAACAGTTCGAGAAAACTCACTGCCTCAAGCTGCCGGAAGTGAACAGCTCGGTGATCATGTTGATAGTCTTATTGCCATCATCCACCCAAGATGCATATGACCTAATCACATTTTCGTGTTTCAGTGTCCTTAACAGATGAACCTCGGAATATAATCTCTCCAGATGATCAGGCGATTGCAGCACATCCTCGATACTGACTTGATTCCAAGCAACTTCTATGCCATCAATCTCATCGAAGCCCTTGTAACTACACACGAGTACCGGCACAAGTAAGTTTCCGCAAGCAGATGAAAAATTACCACATCTGCTTAATATTTCCAAAAATGTGGGAACACTTGACTACAAAAACAAATGGTAAAGCAGGAAAAAGAAAAAAAGAAAAAAAAGGTGGTTTAGGAAGCATACACATTCTTGAATGCTCCTCTCCCCAGGATTTCATCATACTGAAGAAACAAAAACAAAAAGGTAATAAAGCAACCAAAGGGGAAAGGATTAAAGAAAAAACAGAAGGGCTCAATTATATTTAGTAATGTGGCTACAATATATTATACTACCTCCTATTCTTTTTAAATGTCATTTTGGCATTATCAACTATTAACAAAATAAATGTCGTTTTGGATATTTTGTACATATTTTTCCATTATTACCCTCATCTAGCTAAT